CAAAACAAACCCAGAGGGTTCGGTCAATATCTGGTTCTTTTTTTGGAAACCAAAAGGTACAAGTCATCACTGTTATCACCTTATCAAGGATTGAAAAATAAGGGAAAAAGGAAATATCTAAAACTTATTCTACAGCTTATGTAACACTTCTAAGTTATTTTAAAAAGTGTTTCATGTGTATAAAACAATTACTTATAATTTTAAAAGAGAGTTAAACTTAAACCTTCTTTTTCTCATTATCAATAATGTCACTTTTGTAGCCCTTGGCTACTAGGCTCCTTAAATAAAACATTTTGAATAGTCTGATATACCAAAAGATATGGTTTTATTATACTTATAGAGAAATAACGTATTTTATATCTAAAATAAATGTTAAAATATGCAACGAAACAACTAAGTGTATAAATATCAATATTCCGGGAAATATTACAACCATATTTGTACCTGTTTGTTTGATTATCACATTAACAAATAAGAGATATCCGATTCTCATGACAGTCGCGTAAAATTACGTTAGTAAAAAATGACGCAATAGTAGCACAATGTGTTTTCTTTTATTACTTATTTAAAAGATAAAGTACTAATCGAGATAGAGATACCGGTGGTATGAATCCATAAATCAAAGTTTGAAATTTAGTGCGTTATATAAACTCAAAAATTATTCATGATGGCACTACCGTTTCTATATTTAAATCGAGACTACCAAAAAAAACCAAAATTACGCCACGGTAACAAATAATTTCGACGAAACGGAAAAGCTATTTTGATTAACGTATTTCAAGCACTTCAGCACTTTTAAAAAAGGTTAAAAAACAGAGCCTGCGATGGTTTGGTAACGTCAGATGTAGAAATAAGAACTATGTTGCAGGAAGTATACTAAGACGCTGGTTTCCCTGAACACTGAACAGACGTAAGCCGAGGCCGTCAACGTTTCGGACGTTGCGGCTAACGTCCACACGTCGTCAGTAACGGTTTATTAGTTTCTCTAGAATTAGACAGTTTGCTGGTAGATATTAATAAGTATAGACGTCGATTATTAGGTTAGATTAAAAATACAAAGAACTTTATAAATAATGAAAATGATAATGAAAAAAATGTTGATGAAACTATTACTTAAAGAAGAGAAAGATATTGAACTAATAATTAGAAATTTAGAGAAAAGAAGACGGGCTCACAATATATTTAAAAATAGAGAGAGTGAAAGAACATTTAGTAACTTAATTCATTCGCATCTTAAATGTGATCATGAAAAATTCATACAATATTTTCGACTATCAGAAAAACAGCCACTGTTCGTTATGAATGTTCAGTTCCATGGTTCCATCGCTGTTACTATTTTACAAACTTGTAACCTAGTTTCAGCAATATGTGGTGTAAAGTTTGAAACAGTATCAGCCATGGACTCGAAAAATTATAGATAGCAGATTTTTCTGGTACAGTTTCTGTCTGTGTTAAAATTTTTTTCACACAACTGATTATTCACTTGCTGCCTCTTTTCCAAAATACTGATCAAAATAAAAGATTGCTTGTGTTCGCCATCTGGAAGGGTCACGTTGTATAATTGTTATAATTAAAAATTATGTTTAAATTAATTATTACATTATTTGTATGTATTTCATCTTGTTCTTTTTTCATTTTGCTTTCGTTCGTCATAACGTCCACCCGCTGCAATGCTTCGAAACGATATGAACGGACACACGCAGCGGGTAAACGCCAACCGTCGACGCTAGCCGTGACCGCTGGCGTGTCTGAGAAACCAAGTGCATACACTTTTAAGGTCGATTCAGTCACGTCTCGTGACAGTCCTGGCGCCGAACCGAAAAATCCGTCATACAAAATATTCTTTAATAGAAATATGGCGCCGGCATTCACATACATCAGGCGACGAACAGTTTGCCAGCTGTCAGATAATTCATAGTTCTGTGACCAAACAGGACCGGTTCGGCGCCGAGACTGCGACGGGACTGATGTGTCTGAATCGACCTTTAGGCATAGCATTCAAACGTTCACGGTGTTCAGAGAAACCAGCGCCTTAGAGCTGTTACAAGTTCGATGAAAAAACAGATACCTAGAAAAAAACTGAGGAGAATATGGAGGAACTGTGTGGTAAAGAACTTTAAAGTTTTAACGAAGAAGACACGAATAATAGAAATAAGTGCCAAGAAGAGTAAGGAATAGCGATCCCTGAAGAGAAGGAACTCCAAAATATTGCGAAAAATGTTCATTTCTTTAACTCAATTTTAGTTCGATCGTAAACACAGCCATTAAAACAATATTTTAAATTACATATTAAAAAAGTTTTAGTGAATGATTTATAGGTATATATTTTTAATTTAATTTTTAACATTTTTATATCTCTTTGTAAATAAAAATAATATATTTTTTTGCTGTGAATATATTTTATATTTTTTAGTTACCTAGCTTAATGTAGATATTTAGAATGAAACATTCAGAAAGAAAATTTTGACTGATAAACTTTATCTTCTTTCCTTTTTTTCTCTTATTTTAACGTATTCATTTATTTGTTTTGTGTGTTAAACATAAAATTCGGATATTCAAGTATATATTTATATAAGTACATATATAGGTACACGGTATTTCAATACGGTATGTCATAAATTAAATCACGCATTCCGGGGACAAAAATAAATTGGTTGAATCCAATTTACCTTAGTACAAAAGTGTGCACAAAAAAGTTACAGCCGTTTGATTTACAAAATAAATTGTTTTTTGCATTATCTCCTAAACTACTTGACATTTTGTAATAAAAATGGACAGGTTACTTTCTTGTTCTGAAAGCTTTTTTCATTCAAAAGAAACAACAAAATCTAAGCACACAGAAAAATTTTAAGGGTTTGTGCAGCCCTAAATCCCACCAAACTTTTGAGTACGTTCAAATCAAATGAATTTTGTGGCATCATTAGTTTAATACATTATTTTTAAAAAAAAATTTGTCTTCTATCACTTTTTTCAAAAAACAGTTTTTATTGAGTCCTTTTTCATTAACCTTTACTTAATGACCATTAACCCATAAAAAATTACGTGCAAATAAATAAATGGCTTAAATAAATTAACAAGTACAAAAAATGTATATAACCTCTATAAATATGATATTACAATAAATGTTTAAAATGACATCCATTTTCTTAAATACACATTCGGTATCGTTTTAATAAGAAAAACCCAATGCGCGAAGAATCATATTTTTCTGAAGAAATTGATTTGCAGCTTCAATTATTCTAAACCCCCAATTATTGTTCGTGCTCTATTGTTACAGAATACACTTTCTCTTTCATAAACCCCCAAGACAAAAGTACATGGGGTTAAGACCTGGACTTATGGGTGGCCAAGGAATAGGTGCGTCACGACCCCTTCCAATCCACCGACCAGGATACTGCCAGTAAACGTACTCCCGGACTTCATTACTGGAATGCGGTGGTGTGCCATCTTATAGAAACCAAATATTTTGCCTTATTGTAATATTCACTTCTTCCAAATACTCTTGTAAATCGTTTGCAAAGAACTGCAAATAATTATCACCATTTAAATTGTTAAGAAGAAATACTGGGCCTCTTAGATTGTTATCCACAATTCCTGCCCAAACATTAACTTTAAAAGTCCTTTGGTGATGAGTCGTTTTTTGGCGTGAGGATTGTTGTCGGCCCAAATGTGCTCGTTATGATGGTTTGTTATTCCATTTCTACTGAAGGTAGAATCGTCGGTAAACAAAATATTTCTAATAAAATTATTAACATTTTGAGTGTATTCCATTAACAACCAATCGCAAAATCCAATTATTTTAGGGTAATCTTCAACCAATAACTCTTGAACCGTTGTTAAGTGATAGGGTTTCAGCAGCTGATCCTTCAAACGCCTCCAAACCCTTACGTGAGGAACATTTAGTTGAGCACCTATTACTCTTGAACGTGTTCCAGGGACTTCTTCAATTATTTTTAAAATGTCCTCATCAGTTGCATCCAGTATTGGACGACTACTATTGCCAGCAACTTGCGGTTGAAATATACCCGTTTCTCATAAACGACGGTCAATGCTCAGAAATAATCGTCTATCGGGTGTATTTCGATTGGGGTTTTTTACTGCATCACGCCTTGTGGCTGCTGCACTATTTCCTTGACATTCACCTACGATATTCCCGATAGTTTATTGAAATCATAATTTAATCTGATCCAACTTACCCAAAGTTAAATGCATATCTGCCATTTCCTGAAATGGGCAGGCCATTGTAATATCAAAATTTTTAATATTAATCTTATTCACACAATAAATGATAGCTTCAAATTATTGACTATTATTGATGGAACTGTTTGTAATTATTGTATCCGTAGAAACGAAATTGTAATTATATGGTCAACTAGAAAAAAACTAGTTTTTCGAAAAAATGATGAGGCAAAAAAATGTTAAAAATAATGTGTTGAACTAATGATGCCCCAAAAGTCATTTAATTTGAACGAATTCAAAAGTTTGGGAAGATTTGGGGCTGCACACCCCCCTTAACATTTTTCTGTGTGCTTTGATTTTGTTGTTTCTTTTGTATGTAAAATGCTTTCAGAACAAAAAAGTAACTTGTCCATTTTTATTACAAAATGTCAGGTAGTTACGGACATAATGCAAAAAAACAATTTTTATTTTGTAACTTCAAAGGGCTGTAACTTTTTTTGTGTACACTTTTGTACTAAGGTAAGTTGGATTCAATCAATTTATTTTTGTTCCCGGAATGCGTGATTTAATTTATGACATACATTTTTGAAACACCCTGTATTCTGATATTCAAAGTTCAATAATCTAGTATTTTCTAAATAATGGCGAGAACGCTATCACCCTGAAATTATGGCAACTTTAATAACGCTTAAATGTATATAAAATTGCCTGGTAACTGGGTGCTTCGTTAGTGGTTGAATTTTGACATCAACCTGATTCGGTGTAGATCGCGCAGAGGCGGAGGCACTCGCATTTTAAACTTAAATGGGCTAATAAATGTCACTTGGGGTTTGGGGTAACCTTTGACTTTTTATAGCTGATACAGGATTTTTATATGTTTTTTATAATTTAAAATCGCAGGACCAGATTTTCTACAAATGCGGGCAATAATAAATACTGTTTCAAGTTTGTGGTTTGTGTAGTTCGTTTATTTAATAAATTTGTGACTGGGTTTCCACGCATTTTCCTAATATGAATCTACCTGAATCTGATAGTGAAGATGAACTACCCCCCGGCTGGGAGGAAAGGGTTACAGTGGATGGTAGTGTGTTTTACGCGAATCATTTAACCAAAAATACTCAATGGACTCACCCCAGGACAGGAAAGAAAAAGAAGGTATTTTATGGATAATTGAGCTTATTAGCCTCATGAATATTTAATAAATTGATAAAGTGTGTAATTTAAGCACACATTTCATATCTTTAGTATTTAGACAATTTTCTTATTGAAAATTATTTGTTTTTTCTTAAATTTTTGAATAAAAAAAAATTAATCAAAAAGATATTTAATAAGGCAATCAAAAATGGAGTAATTTTTAGCTAATATGTAGGATAAAACTTTTGTATTTAATAACAATTTAAATCAACATTTTAGGTATCAGGTGATCTTCCTTTTGGGTGGCAAAGATGTGTTGACAAAAACACAGGAAAAGTAATTTACGTGGATCACGAAAATCGCAGAACTACTTATACAGATCCCAGATTGGCTTTTGCTGTTGAGGAAAAGGAACATGTAAATGATTACAGGCAAAGATTTGATGCTTCCAGTACGGCACTACAAGTAAGTTTTTATTACTGCTACAATTAGAACAGAATAATTATTACAACACCCCTCCAACTCTTCAACTTCATGGCTTATTATATAAAACTAATTAATTCTTTTAAGGTTTTACATGGAAGGGACTTAAATGGCAAAACAGCTCTTGTGACAGGGGCCAATGCAGGCATTGGTTTTGAAACTGCACGGTCCTTAGCCAAACATGGTTGCAGTGTCATAATGGCTTGTAGGAACTTAGCAGCTGCTGAAGAAGCTATCAGTCAAATCAGGGAAGATAAACCTGCAGCCGGTGAGAACTGTATAGCCATATATCTGGACTTAACTTCATTATCATCAGTGGTAAGATTTATGTATCTAAGCTATTCTTAAAATTATAAATGAGGATAAAATATGGGAGTAACTTAAAAAGTATGGAACCCAAATAGTGAAAAGAGCATGTTTTTCTCAATATAATATCTTTGTAATTAAATACACTTTAACAGGTGTTTTCCCAATAACTATAATATTGATTATACAAGTACAGTATGTGGAAAAATCCAAATATCTCGAACAGCATAATTTTTAGAGATAGGAAATGTTAAATAAGGTAGATCTTTAGTAAAGTATGTAGCATTTTTTTCTGCCTACACTAATTTTGTTTATTTACCCTGTATTCAAAAATAAAAAAAAATTGAGTACCCTGGTATATATACACACACACTCAGATTGCTAGTGTGTATTACGATAGAGCACATGAGCCACAGTTTTATCTGACAAAAACATTTCACAGATACTGAATGTTGTTCGGATAAAATAGTATTACCCTTATAGCCTGAAGTGGTTTTGAAAAAATTAAAAAGCTGATAAGGCAATTGCAGGACACTCCCCCAGGTTAGACCATGCCTGGTGAACCTGGAGATTGTACTTGTGATGTTGTTCTCATAGCGAAGACATTTTAAGTCTGCTACAGGTAACCGCCAATTTTGGAAGTTTATTTTAATAGATAGGCCAATATTTTTGAGCCACTTGGTATATTTTAACATAATTTTTTATTACAACAATAAAACACTGAAAACTTTGTTTTTAAAACTTCTACAAAATTTATTATATTATCTTATCAATGCAGTTGTTTTGGCAGAGTGCATTTCTCAAGTAAAGTTTTGAAAACAAAAATTTCAATATTTTATTGTTATATAAAATGAATTTCCATCAAGTAAAGGTGGAATCCTTCACTTATAATTTTTTAATAATAGCATACTTAATTAACACAAATATATTAAAAAAAATTTTTTTTACATATCCCGTGCCACTCTCTATATTATTTATTATTGCAAATAGGTAAATCTGTTACTCCAGTGAATAAGTGGTTAAGTCGATTTTTTGACAAAATGGGTTTAGTACACTAATGAGTACAGAGTGACTTCTCGGATATGGTGAATCAGTAGTTAAGTTGTAAGTGGACTCTAGCCAAGGTTATATGCATATGAATTTTTGGCCATCTTTGAAATTGATGTACTAATAATTATTTTATGTGCTTAACAGGTTAACTCGATTTGACATATTTTGGTCCACTGTGCATAACTGGTTAACTATAATATATTTATTACATCATGAAATTTTCTGACTAATTTACGATCTAAAGCAGATACATCGTAGTTTATATACTAGTTGTTAAATAGAGTTGTATGTACATTTATTGAATTTTTAAAGAACACTATTCAGGGAAGTACAAGCTCATATAACGATATTATTATTGAGGTTAAATTCAAAGTTTACATTCATTTTTATTTTTATTCTGTGCCCGATAGCATTAGTTCTTCATAGTATTTCTGCATTGTGTTTAAAAGATGCATTCCTGATTAACATTTTTAAGAAAATTAAAAGAAAAAGCCTTGAAAAAAAAAGATTGTGCTGCCTGTTTTTGATTTAGAGAAACTAAAAGACAATAATGATAGAGATTTAATGCAAGGTAAGGTACTTATTTAGATCTCTACAAATCAGTTATACCAGTTCTTTGTTTTAGATTTGGATGCCGCAAATACATCATCAGCTGATCAGCTAATAATAACGTTGCCATTGATGTGTTGGAAGATTTCGATTCAGATGATAGCATTGCTGAGCCTATTTATTTATCACAACCCAGATATTCAAGCTCTTCAGATGAAGGAACCTCCAACCCTAAGCAGATGAAAAAACAAATCTGTGCCAAAAAGACAACAATGGAAGCAATTCATGTAACACTGAAGTTGTTGAGGTAAGGACTAATAATAAAAAAATATATTAAAAAGGGGAGATCCAGACGTCAAAGAGCTGAATGCAAAATATTGAGAAATTTAGGAAAATCATATAAAACTGAAAAGGGAAAAATACTTTCTAAAAGAACAATTAGTACTTTAAAATCATGTAGAATGAAATGCAATGAGAAGTTAACAGAAAATGATAAAAAGTTTGCCTTGAAAACTATTGGAATTTGGGAAGTAGAAACAAGAGGGCGAGTTATGTTGGTTAATAGAAGTTGATAGAAGTAAATGACAAAAAGACTAAAAAAAAATATTACTAATCCAAAAACAGACAGGTCATGCAGTTGCTCTTACCATTTAATAATTGATAAACAAAAAGTAAAAGTATGCAGAGATTGTTTCCAAAAAATATTGGGTGAAACAAAAGGTTTTGTTCAATTAGTAATAAAAAAAAAGAACAATTCTGCAAATGGTATAATATAAAAAGACCAACGAGGTATGGCCTCGCCTTCAAGTAAATGGAGCTTAAAAGATTTGCAAGATGTCAAATCACATATTTTGTTATTTCCCACTTACGAGAGCCACTATTGTCAAAATCAAAGTAATAAAAAAATTTTATCATCCAATTTGACTATTTCGAAAATTTTTGATTTGTATGAGGAAGGATGAGCATCTTCTGTTTGTCAACTATTTACACTAAATCCATAAGAAAAATAAATTCCTGCAGCTGGCTGTATACCATGTATCACAAAAAAAGAGGTTAAATCTTTGTAAGTAGGTATATTTAAAAATTTGAGGGTTTTTAACTTACAAAGATTTAACCTCTTTTTCTATTTACACTAAATTTTTTCATGATTTTGGTTTAGCTTTTAAAAAATCAAAGCAGGACACATGTTACAAATGTGAAATTGTGAAACCATATCTGGCAGAGGTGCCAATGAAATCGCCTCATGCCTTAATCATTTTGTCACTTGTCCTCTGAAAAAACGGAAGTAACATTTTATTCTGATACGTGTGGCGGTCAGAATAAAAATAATATCGTTGCTTTAATGTTTCTAAATTTTGTTAATCAAAATAAAACCTGAAGATCAACCACAATTTTTTGGTTAGTGGTCATACACATATGGAGTTTGATACTGACCACTCCGTTATTGAAAAAAAAAGGCCAAGAAAAAAACAAATTTAAAAATAAATCATCCTAACGACTGGGCACAGTTAATCAGAATTGCTAAACAGAAAAATCCCTTTGAAATTGTGATGATATTGAAAGACAATTTCTTTCATTTCAATTCACTTGTGACGAAACATGGCCCTACATTATTAAAAAAGTTGATATTGATGGAGAACGGTTTCTGTGGAAACCTGTCTAATAGCTTTAATATGCTCAAAGCGGCGGTCAAATTTCATTTAAATGCTCATTAAGACAAAAAGATCGTTTCAAAATAATAAATTTTGCTCATAGAGGACGTTAAACTGGATTATTTAGTTTACCTAACATTAACAACAGATGGGCAGGGAGAGAGTTCTAGATCATTTGAGATAAAGGATGGACTCAGACAAGGAGATGCTCTGGCTTGCCTCCTATTTAATATTGCCTTAGAAAAAGGCAGTCCGAGATACACGAATTAGGGACGGCGGTACTATTTACAATAGATCGATACAAGTCTTAGCATATGCTGATGACATTGACATAATAGCAAGCGAGATGTTGAGCAATATCTCCTAGAATTGGAAACAGCGGCGAAACAGGTCGGTCTAGTCATCAACGAAGACAAAACCAAGTACATGTTGGTTACAAAGGATCCGATAGCAAATGAGGAACGAGAAACAGTCTTTGGAAGTCATACCTTTGGACGTGTTGACAACTTCACATACCTTGGGTCGCTATTGACTGCTACCAATAAAACAAGCGAAGAAATCAAAAGACGAATAAATCTTACAAATAGGGCATTACTATGGACTCCAAAAGCATTTCCACTCAAGAAACATTCAAAGAAGAACTAAAATTATTATATAAAAAACATTGCTGAGGCGGTCCTCACATATGGAGCAGAAACATGGACACTAACGCAGAAAGATGAAAGACTTTTGGGAATATTTGAGCGTAAAATACTCCGCAAAATATTTGGAGCTGTAAACGACTAAGGGCAGTGGCACAGAAGATATAATTTTGAATTGTATCAGCTCTTTGATGAGCAGATGTCATAACGTTCATTAAAACACAGCGACTTAGATGGGCTGGACACATAATACGAATGCCAGAAAATACCATTGCTAAAAAGCTAACCACAGGAACACCTGTAGGAAAAAGAAGCAAAGGCCGACCTCGAATTAGGTGGTTAGATGGAGTAGAAACCGATTACGAATATTAAAAATCAGAAGATGGCAACATGTTGCCAAAAACCGAACAGAATGGCGACGAATCTTAGAGCAGGCCAAGATCCACAGGGGATTGTCGAGCCAAAGATGATGATAACATTAACAACGAATCAGTGCCGATAGTCACAGAAAAAACTTATTGTCTTTATTGCCTTAATAGATCCTTCATTCCATGCACTTTATCAAAACCTGAAAACGAAAAACGATGTCGCCAATGATCCTGACCTGGAGGAATTGGATCCTGACCCAGATACACAACCTAATTAATCAGAATAAATATTTTTAAACTGACTTTAAAACGGTTTTTGTTAAATTTTAAATAAAGAAATATTCTTTTTTTATGTTTTAAGTCATTAAACCAAAAAATGAAATACATAGATTGGCCTATTTTCATTAATATATTGAGGTGAATAACTAGGTAAGTCGACAATGAATAAATAACTAAGTCTCATATCTCATCATCCTAATCACTTAGTAGTTACAGAATTGTTTCTTTTTTTTATTCTATCATATTTTTTGTAAAGTTTTAGTATTCTATCATATAAGATGGATGTTGTCAAAACTCGTAAGTCATCTCCTGAAAACTATGCAAAATTGACTTAACCACTTATTCACTGGAGTAACGGAAATAATCCTGGGTTTTAACGGTTTTTCTTGTTTTAAATCGACAAATTTAAGAAAAGTTGATGTATTTTTGTTTGTAGGTACAATTTGCCAACACTGTTAAAAGCAAATATGATAAAATAGATATGTTAATCTTAAACGCAGGCGTTTTTGGTCTTCCTTTCAGTAAAACTCTCGATGGGTTTGAAACCATATTTCAAGTAAACCATTTGTCACATTTTTATCTCACAATCCTGCTCAGACCTCTGCTGGTCAATGGTTCTAGAGTTGTGGTAGTCTCATCTGAATCACACAGGTAATATGTTGACCTTTATTATAAATTTTAATGTCAAATAAAGTACAAAGTACATTTATGCATTTAGATTGCAAAATCATATTATTATTCTATAGTTATAGTTACTAAGTTGACTTAGCTAGTATATAAAAAGTTTTTATTGATACTATACTAGTATATAAAAAGTTTTTAGATACTTTTTATCTATCACAATTTTTCAAATTTCATTGATTTCATTATAGATAAATATTTATTTCTCTTATATAATAATTATTGCTTCTGTATAGGTTCGCCAACCTTACCATCGAGAACATCACCCCTCTGACCCTCTCGCCAGACTCCGCCGCCAAATACTGGGACATGATGGCCTACAACAACTCCAAACTGTGCAACGTCCTCTTCAGTCGCCAATTATCTAAGAACCTCCAAACGTCTGGCATATCTGTGTTCAGTCTTCATCCGGGCAACATGGTGTCTTCCAAACTGGCCAGGAATTGGTGGTTGTATAGGGTTCTCTTTGCCATCGTAAGGCCGTTTACGAAGAGCCTTCAGCAAGCGGCCAGTACAAGCATTTATTGCGCCACTGCCATTGAATTAGCTGGAGTTACTGGTAAGATTGTTCTTCTACTATTACAATTTTAACTACACCTACAGATATTCAAATTTTTATGCCATTTCTTAACACATTTAATTGTAAACAATTCTTCTTCTTCTTTTGCCCTTTAATTCGTCCAATTTTGAACATAGGCTTCCCCCAGTTTCCTCCATTCGCTTCTGTTTTGTGCTTTCTGTTTCCAGTGTATTCCTCCTATCTTTCTAATGTCATCTCCCCATCTCATCTGGGTCGTCCTCTTGCTCTCTTTCCTGTCCATGGTCTCCAATGTTGTATCGTGTTGTTCCACCTATTGTCTGTTTGTCTGGCGTTATGACCTGCGAAACTCCATTTTAGCCTGGCTATATGTTGACCTGCGTCTTTGACTTTTGTTTTGTTTCTTATCCAGATGTTTTGCTTCTTGTCTTTTAATTTTACTCCCAACATTGCTCTCTCCATGGCTCTTTGTGTCTTCACTATCTTATCCATGTTTGCTTTGGTCAGAGTCCATGTTTGGCATGCGTATGTGAGAATTGGGAGTATGCACTGGTCAAACACTCTTGTTTTTAAGTACTGTTGTATTTTCTTATTCTTTAGGACCCATTTTAATTTCCCAAATCCTGCCCAGGCTAATCTGACTCTTCTTTTTACCTCCGCTGTTTGGTTTTCCTTATTTATTTTTATTATCTGTCCCAAATATATATAATTCATTAACCGCTTCTATTGTGATTCCATTAGTATTACGTTTCTATTATCTTGTGTGTTTGTCATTGTTTTCGTTTTGGTAAGATTCATTTTTAGGCCTATTTGTTCAGATTCCTTGGCTAGTTCGGTTAGCATAGTTTGTAGTTCTTCAAAACTTGATGTTATTATTACTACATCGTCTGCATATCTTAGATGGTTTAGTTTCTTTCCATTTATGTTTATTCCCATGTTTGTCCATTCCATTGTTTTGAAAACATCTTCCAGTGCTAATGTAAATAATTTAGGAGAAATAACATCGCCCTGTCGCACTCCTCTGTTAATTGGTATAGGTTTTGTGTTTTCTTCCAATTGTACTGTCATTGTTGCTTTCTTATATATATTGTGTATTAGCATTCTGTATCTGGAATCTATTCTACAGTTGTTTATAGCTCTTTCTATTGCCCACATTTCCACACTATCAAAAGCTTTCTCATAGTCAACGAATGCTAAATGCAGATCTAAATGATATTCGTTAGCTTTCTCTATCAGTGTCCTAATTGTTAAAAGATGGTCAGTGGTGCTATATCCTTTTCTGAATCCTGCCTGCTCTACTGGTTGATATGAGTCAAGTTTGTGTGCTAGCCTGTTGTTGATAATCCTCATGAATAATTTGTACGTTTGTGACAGCAGTGAGATAAACAATTACTTTTTCCATTTTTGTCGGATATATGATACTTTCAGAGAGGTCATAGGTAGAAAAATAAGATTTGTAAAGTTCATTTTTCGTTACCTACTATACCTTATTGGGAATTACCCACTTGGAAATTAAAACATCAAATTAGACATGTTTTTAATTAAAAATGTGATTTATCTCCCATTAGGGAATGGCCAAATTTCAGGTTCATTTTCTAAAGACTCTTCAGCTGCTCTATATTGAAACTATAGATTTTACTAACTTTTCGGGACATTTATACAAACATCTAAGGTCCACCTTACTATCAACAATCCTTAACAAATTCAGACTGAGCTAATTATTTCTTTGGAAGATTTTGTTCTGAAATCCCTTTAAAAAAAAGACTCTACTTGTGGAATGGACTTCCTGCCTTGTAATATGACAATTATTTTCAGTTCTTTTAAAGAATTTTTTGTACATTTGAACATTTTTCCCAAATGAACGACAAGAATATGAAAATTTATTTCAAAATTAATAATTAATTGTCAAAGATAGGGTAACACTGCCTTGAATTGTTTTGAATTCAATGTTTTTAAAGTTTTGTATTTTAGTAAAATGAAATGTATTTTAAGAGCACCATCTAGTGTATAGTAGTCAAAATATTGGGGCGATTAGCTAATGGTTTCTATATCAGCTAGGAGTTCAAATCTTCGTCAATAGAGGGCGCAACTTGAAGAACAACAATTTAACAATGAAACAATTTGAAAACTAAAGATTTTTAGAATCAGTAACATCAGAACAAATGTAGAGGATATAAAAGAGATGCTCAGCACTACTTTAATTGCTGAATTTCGGAATTGTTCAAATAATTCTTTCCGACATCTATATATTTCATAATTCCCAACCCGATAATTTCAGTTTCTGGTTTCAAAACGTCAAAATAATGTATTTTCAATTAAAATTGTGGTTCATTCCTAGTACAACCTTTTAGTTGTATTTCAAATTTGTATTTTATATATGCAGAAAGTAGTCGCTGAAATTACTTGACTATTAACGAACTGTTTAAATACCCGTATTTTATGTTGTCGACCAGTATCTCCAATAATTATCTATTAATAACAGCAAATGGTTAGTCATAAAGGCCGAAATAGTAGATCTAATCTTTAATTAAACAAAAATCTGTATACTGCCATCTCTTGTTTCATTAAGATTACCAACGTAGTATAGCCAAATAATTTTACCTTCTTATCACAAAATCTGAATGAAATATCCATATACAAGGTAAAATAAACACCAGGTATAATAAATATACTATTTTTAATACATAATGAGTCAAACGTCTTTTAGAATTTGACAATTTCGATACTACTGTGTAATGTCAAATTTTACTCAAACTATAATAGTAACAAATCGGTTATTTCTTGTTATTTAGACTATTTCTATGGATTATGCACAAATGATTCCTGGAAGCTGACTTTTGCCCAAAGAAAACTGAAATACTCGAAAAGTGTTTGTTCAAGGTTTAACCTTAGCTAGGTATATATTTTAAAAGTATTTTGTGGTCCAAAACTTATAAGTACGAAGTAAAAATGCTGAAAATAGATTTGCAATTTAACCACAAAATTGTCATGTTACTCCCAAAACGATCATTTAGTATAATAGTTTGCCATGATTTTCAAATATTTTTTTATGTTATTTAAGTTTAATGTTTTTAGTCTGTGGGTTTAAAGGGCATTTAATTTATTTTGTCATAATTACGTCAAGTTATTTGACTTTAAGAATACCTTTGGAAGTTTTTTGTATTTTAGTAATTAAAATAGATTTTTGAGGGCCCTCTATTAAGCAATGGTGAAAGTAATGTAGTTGATTGACGACCTTAGTAAATGGTTCCTATTATATCGGCTAGAAGTTGAGATACTTCTCAATAGAAGATACAATAATTTAAAAAAAAATGTGTATAACTGACGAATTTTAAATTATAATAAAATGAAAATAAAAATATAGAATGAGGGGATTAGATGCTAAGGGGTACAAATGATAAAATGGTTAAGCTGGGAAAAACGAAGTCAAAGTTAATTTTGTATAGTAAATTCTACATCGAATTAAATACTTATCGACTTATGTTGAATTAATTTTACACATTTTATTTATCTAATTATAAAAGCGTTTTTACATTTAGTATTTATTTTCATTCAAAACATTTGACATTTTGAAAAAACGTTTGCACTTGTACCCCTCTTCTTAAAATTTAACACTTGTTTGTCTTTGTCACTTACGTACCTTAGGAATTTCTTAAAGTAAAATAAAATAAAAATTACGTTAAACACTTTATTCTTCAAACAAAAAAACATTCTATTCCGAGAATAAACAGAAAGAACACACATTTTATTCTTCAAACAAAAAAACATATTTATTCGTCATAATCTGAACCAGGTCCAGTTGAGTGTCTTCTTCATTTTCCCTAAGGAATATCCACTTCCAATTCTTGGGAGTTTCTTTCATATTAAAAAATTCGCGATTTCAACCTTCATCGTGGCTTAAATTACAGTAAAAATCATGATGAATGGGGTATATAAAGGGTAAAAGTTGCAACCAATTTTTGTATTTTGGGAGTATTATTTTGATGGGATCTTGGCGGAGAGGCGGAAGTTCGATGACCGATGGAATTTCTCCAGGTCGTCTCACCCTTTTAGTTCTTCTCAAATCAACAGTGTCAAAGGGAAAATCTTCCGAAAGAGTATCTTTATAAAACAATGTGCAAGGTGTCTGCTTTTCGAAATCACAATAAATTTCAACAATATTGTAATAAAAACGACAAATATTGACTCTGGAAAAATCTTAACCGAAGTTCTATGTATTACCCAAAAATAAACCAAATTAAAATTGAATAAACCAAACTAAAAATAACTAGGTACATTAAAAAAATAGTCAAAATGTTTTGAATTACTTGGTATATGTTGTGGTATTATTTCACTCATTTTGAATACTTTTTTAACAGCTCGATTTGTAAAGGTGCTAAACGATTGATTCAAAACAATATGCAACACATTACAGGCCAAGGGATACAAGTGTAGTTATACCTGTTTGCCGCAAACTGTTTTAAAATATTTCGTAAGTAGTCAAGCTAGAACCGGCCATATATCGCCACCAGCAGTTTAATTCACCTGTATCTCTTTGCCACTAAATTTTTAGTACTATCTAGTATTATTTTCTGCGCTTAAATGATTTTACAACATTTTGTCACTTGTACCCCTTAGCATCTAATCACCTCGAATATAATCTACATCGTAACAAATGTATTGTAATAAGTGTGCAAGTGTGCAATTGGATTGTTGAATTTTTGTAACTTTCAAATAATTATTTTTTATTTTTAATAATTACCAACTGAGGACTTTCATTTGACATATATCTGGACTTTCAATGATATCGGTTTGTTACTATAACGGTTGTCTGACAATAAACAACGAATTAATATATTTTCAGGTGTGTACTTCAACAATTGTTACCAGTGCCAAGAAAGTCCCATGGCTAAAGACGACCAACTAGCAAAGGCGCTGTGGGATATCAGCGTCGAGATGATACAGAGTGTTTTAGGAAATAACGCTCCCGGATTGGAGAACGAATCCAAGCGGGCATTGGAAGAGGATCATTAGAGGGTCAACGGTATGTATTGTAGATTTATTGGATTTTGTACTTTCATATTTGTGAATATATATAGCGAGTCACTGAAAAAACATACACTATTTATCGCTTCAGTGACTTAAATTGTACGGAAGGATATAATAAAAAAATAAATATTTACAAATATTTTTATTGCTTCAATACTTTTAGGGAAATAGTTTGAACGAAATTTTCCACAATGCGTGTTTAAACAGTCTCCAAATTGAAGTTAAAGGTAGTAAGAACTAAAAAATGCCGAATAAAATAAAATGTACAATATAAATAAATACAAATATATACAACACTGGCAGCATTCAATAAATTAAACAAATAAAAAATCCGGGTACATTTTCTAAGACTAGTTGGTTGATACAGGGTGATACATAAATAAGGGGGATTATTTTCTACAAAATATCAATTTTAATTGCGGGGTGTAAAAGATTATTACTTACTGAATATGTTTTACTTCTATATTGCCCAGTTCATTAAAACGTTTTAGTCATTAGAGAAATGGTTTGTATTCCTAGATTATTTAAAAACTTCATTAAAAAGTTTATTTCACAACTTGTCACGAATATCTACTGTTTTAGTGTAAATAAGGGACTTCTTCTTCTTTAAGTTCCATCTATCGAAGGTTGGAAATCATCATGGCTATGCGAACTCTGTTGACTGCCGCTCTAAAAAGTTCTGCACTACTGCATTTAAACCATTCCATTAAGTTCTTAAGCCAGGATATTCTTCGTCTTCTCACATTTCGCTTTCCTCGGATTTTGCCCTGCATAATAAGTTATAATAATTCGTATTTTTGCCCTCTCATCACATGTCCTAAGTACTCAAGTTTTCGTCTTTTGATAGTTAATATTATTTCCGCCTCATTTCCTAGCCTTCTAGTTACTTCCACGTTTGACATTCTTTGAATCCCTGATATTCGTAGGATTCTTCTGTAACACAAGAATTCAAAGGCGACCAACTTATTCAGATGTCCTTGTTTTAGTGTCCACGGTTCCAAGCCATAAAGAAGAGTAGAGAACACGTAACATCGAAGCATTCTCAGACGTACTTCTAACCTTATATCCCGACAACACAAGAAACTTTTTAAGTTAAATGAATGATGTACGTGCTATTTCAATATGTGTCTTAATTACTTTGGTTTGGTCTACATCTCATGTTATCCATCTTCCTAAGAATTTATAGTTATTAACACTCTCAATTGCAGTATCTTCAATAGTCAATTCGATATTTGCATGTGCAGATTTAGTCATGATCATGCATTTAGTTTTCTTTTAAATTTATCTTTAGTCCGTACTCATGACAGCGTTCAGTAAGGCGTTCATTTCAACGCCTTAATGAAATACGGGACTACAAATATAATACTCTGTTGAACTCAAATCTAAACAACTTTAAAGCTCGGATATTTGTTACTTTCTGCGGAAAAATGTGATATTAGGTGTTGATGTACTTGCAAAATATAAAGTGATTAACCTAAACTCCAATAGCACACATTTTAGTAATCAAAGGATACTTTTATGTAAGTAAACCATTACCCAAATAACTAAAACGTACTGAAATAGAGATTAACCATGTAAAACATGTTAAGTGGAAGATATTTATTTCATTTTGTGCTTGGTTGTAAAAAAATTACTGAAATATGTTACTGAATTATTTTTATAGCTTGTAACACCCTTAACTCCAGAGTTTATTAGTATTTGAGCACAATTATTACACAAAATGTACATTAATCTACAGGTGAAAATAAAACCAATTATTTATACACCACCCTGTATATAGGATGACTATTTTCAATTGTTACTACGTCAGGATGAATAGTGAAGGTTCTAGATTAGTATTAAAAAACCGATTGTTTAGTTACCACTGTTACCTGAGGTAGTAACATTGAACAGTTTGTGTTTGTTTTACCTTATTCGAAATATTTTAGTGAAATTAGCAGGCTCTGATTTATTTGGATTTAATGGGTTCCTGGTTTTAGTTACTTTCAGCCAGAAATATGTCAAGCGCAGTAGTAGAAAATCCAAAATAGATCTGACGCTAAGTACTGACCCTAGAAAATTGGAACATTACAAATATTAAAATTGATCGACGAATTTGGGGAAATGGTCATAAAAAGCTTTTTCAAATAAAAATGTATGACTCTATTTTATCTTTTTGATTTATTTAACCTCTTTACCTCTTTTAGAAATATTCTGAGATACAGATAAACATAGATAAACAGCAAATAGTCATAAAACGTCATTTAAATACACAAAAATACAACGTGATTGCTAAAACGAATTTGCTTAGCAACTTTAACGCATATTATATGTATTGCTAGTTGTCTAAATTTAAAAGTTGACTTGTGGTTCTATTGTGTTATTGGTTGCCTACATTTGAAAATAGTGATGATTTTGTTCCATTGTTCTATCATTGGTGTTCTAAATTTCAATAGTTTGGAAACCAAGGAGAAGAAAACATAAATCTGAAAGATCCGATGAATTTAATATTAACGTTCTTTTAATTTTTAGCACAACGGTTTTTTTATGCACATACAGCCTCTATGCTAAATTAAAAGAGTTTTCTTTCACAATCCGAAAAATAGTGTCAAACGCACTATTTTCTAAACTTTTCATGTAGTTGTTAAATAGCAATCATTTAATCATAAAAATACCGTTCCTTTTAGGTAACTACATCCAACCCAACTTTTTGCATTAACTATTTAGCTTTATGCAGTCTATTCCTTGAAATTCAGACTCTATATATGTCGAAAGTCGTCTATCGGTTTTTGTTGTTACTCACTATTACCAAACTGTTAGGTAATATGGTTGATCAGTCTTTCTAGTAATTTATATAATGTTAACCTTAAAAGATTGTTCATAAATAAGGTAATAGTGCAATATTTGCTTTCAATTAAACAAAATTCTGTCTTTCGTACCGTCTGCAGTCTTTTCCAGATTTTCACTGTTTCATACTTGAAAAATGTTACTCCGTACTTCACTATTCATACAATCTCGATATTTAACGTAAAACAAACACTTTGTGCAATAAATATACTATTTGCAATACAAAACAAGTCAAACGTCTTTCAGATATTTTTCATAAAATTGTCTAATGCCCAATTTTCCTCACACTATAACAGTAATAAATCGGTTCTTTTTCGCTCGTTTGACTTGTCATGTAGATTATGCAGACAAGAACCCTGAAAGCTGAGTTTTACACAAATAAAAATTGAAATACAAGTGTTAGTTCAAGGATTTTTATGCCCCTAGCTACAAATATATTTTAAAAGTATTTTGCGGTCCATAACTTAAAATACATCGCCTCAATATGAGGCAGAAATGCTAAAAATGGATTTGTAATTATGATATGAAGAAGAGTGTCTTAAGAAATGCATTGAGTTATTTTAATAGTATTGTACATTAATCTATAAATATATGGCAGTTTTTTTCGTCAACTAAATCACAAAATTGTCATGATACTCTCAAAACTGTTATTTAATGTAGATAGTATTTGTTTCCTATGTAGGTATTTGCAGGCAGTTTTATGTTATCTGAAGGTTTATAGCTTTGATATGTGGGTTCAAAGGGGAATTTAAGTCAAATTAAAGAGCCAGAATAAGTTAAACGAATTGTAGACTAGGTCACATTTGACAACAGACAGAGAACAATTGGCACAAACCAGGAGAACAATCAACTAATTATAGACGATATTTTTTCGCTCTAAAAGAAGAGAAAACCATAAGATATAAAGTAAAATTCGAAAATACCACTTTAAGTAGAGAAAACGAGGAGGGAGGAAAGAAACACCACTTTAGAAAATAAAAAAAGGATGAAGCTGTACGGATGCAACGAGAGAGGAAAAAATCTCTTGAAGGGAATGTAGTGAAGGATTAAATACCATATAGAAAAAATGACGAAAAGGAGTAAAACACAAAAAAAATGGAAGAAATTGATGAAGTGCATATAACTGAACCTTACAGAATGAAACATTAAGGAATGACGGGGAGAAGGGAAACACCACTTTGGAAGAAGGAGAAAACTGTAAATAAGAAGCTCTTTTCTAATCTTATTTTCGAAGTTAAAATCTACATCAGGTAACACGTAGCATCCATTTGATAATAAAGAAAATAACGTGAAGAGAAGTAAACCATAGAGATGGAAATCGAGGAAAATCCACTTGAGACAGGAAGAAAATCTTGGAGTAATAAAATTAATGAAGTAAAAACACCACTTTTGAAGAGAAGGAAACAACAAGGTAATATAAAACTATTTGGGAATTGAGAGAAAATCATATACAAGGAGGGAGAAATGGAAAATCGCCATGAGAAGGGTGAAGGGGAGAACCTCCCTTTGGAAGAAGCGACGATCGCAAGGAAGGAGGGCAAAAACAAAATGGTTCCAAAAGATGAGCCGAATTTGTTCATATCGGATTATATCGATCTAATTTACAGATCGGAATGATACTCTCAAATCAAAGAAAACCTTAAAAACTTCTTAAATTATATGGCCGCCTTGTCTCATTTAAATTATTTTTAATACCATTCCTAAAACCGTAACATTTTAGCAGGCAGTCGACAAAATATTACCCAAATAACAAATTACAAATCCATTTGACTTGAAAATTAGGAAGTGTTTTGGTATGGCAGTTGCTTTTTAACCTACTTAATTCATTACTTTTTCGCGCGGGTTTTTAATACTACAATACTGTGCAATTATACAAGGTAGATCAAAAACTTCCAAATTACAAAAATATATGTTTAATTGTAGTGGATTGTTACTGTTTCTGTATATTTGATATACCCTGTATGTATTTATAATACGATAGAAGTCTTCTCGGTTGATACCATTCTTTAAGCGGTGTGTTACGTTACATTAAGCTAACAGAAAATAGAGATTTTTATAGTAGTCATTTAGAGAGTTGGCCTAGCTTTTGTCTCTGACGATATGGCACATAATTTTATCAAAAACAAAGGTATAAAATGACAGAAATACTTCTAATATATTTTATCGACTTTTAAAGAATCTATATATTATTTTTAATAGTACTTTTGAATATTCACATATTTCTTTGAGTGCAACCATATTTGCATGGTCCTTCGAGCCAGATCGAATCATTTTCCTTAATTTCAAGTTTTTTTTTTATTCCATTTCACTCTTTTTTGTATTTTTTACTAATCATCATTACATATTCCTTCAAGTTTACGTTAATAAATTTTATAGATGCCATTTTTGGGAAATATTTATCTTAATAGTGTTTTAGATTCTTTCTTTTTCTTTAATTTCTTTACTTTGGTACTTGTTTTGATTGGTATTCGTAATAATTGGTTTAGAATAACTCAACAAATCTGCAAGAACTCCTTAGTACTTTAAGAAATACGTTATTTTTAGACCACGTTCTCAAATTATTCATTTATCTAACAGTTTTTTTAGAGTTCGGTATGGTGTAGCTCCATTAGTTACGATGTAATATTGATTATGTTTGCATTATATATTGCATATAGACAAATCTGTAATGCAGCAAAAGTTTTTTTAAGAGAACTTTCTCAACAACAAAAAAAAACGAGACAAAAGCTAGTTACCATCATCTGAAATGTCAGTTCTTTTTGTATCGTGTCAAGTTATAAAAGACAAAAGCTTTTTGTACATCCACCGCCAATTGGATACAATTTCTGTGTATTACAACCTTCTTGGACTTGTTACGTTTTTGGTCTTTGCCTCTCATGAACACAGTGCGATGATTGAATGGTCTAAGTGATTTCGACGGCTAGACCTATACTGGGATCTGGAACGCATTGACCGCAGTATCCTCCGCATTTGCCAGATGCAGTTGTGTCCTAGAAAAGGATAATGTGTTATTGGAACTTTAGTTTGATCAAAGATCGACTACAACCTTAAAATGTCTATTAAACAGCTATAAATATGTTAAAAGTGATCATTCATGGAAGCAGTTAAATATTAAGTACATAGTTCCTAATGTCAATACTCACAGATCTTCGTATCTCAGCCGACGCATGAGGTCCCACTTTCTCCCATCTTACACTGCTGACCAACCTGAATGAGGTATGCGTCAAATCGATCTCAAATCTTCCTTGTGCGCAATTGGTCGCGGAACTATAGCAATCTCCGGCGGTACCGTAAGGTACTCTTCTTCCTCGCAGCTGCCTCGAGAAGGTAAAATCATCACCGATGATTCGTAATGATGTGATGTTCAATCTGACTTTCCAGAACTTGGTCGCTCCTGACCGCTCAGGTCCCAAATTATCACATTGGCAGGTGTCGTCCCGTTGACCTCCATTTGGGCAGGATCTCACATCAGTTAATCTAAAAAGAAAATTTGCCAATATAATTTTTTTACTGTTTTATATGACCTGTTTTGTGGCCTAAATGTAACAGGAATGTGAAAGTGTATAAATGTAAGAAAACAAAAAGAATACGGAATTTTTTAACAATTTGTAAATAAACGGACACATGTCAAGACACAACGTGATAAAAATAACTGCTTTGGTTAAAACGTACCTCTTATCATAAAGTTCGGCAAAATTCATACTATCAGGATGCAAACTTATATATTCTAACGGTTCAGGCGTATCCATTTTGTAGCAGTGAATGCTTACAGGACGCCCCAGTACTGATATGACATAATCTTTATTTTCCTTCGTTCCAGTCGCGTGTTTTAGTTCCTTGCAGCTCTTATATAGGCATCTCCATTGGTTGCATTTTCTTTTTCTTGGAGGTTTCAAGTTGGCGCGGCAATAGGATCTGGGTACTCTCTGGTGGGTCCATACGTTAACGCAAGGGATGGCTCGAACTTGCCTGCCTCGTCTACCGCAAGTATGTGAACACTACAACAAATATTTAGATAAAATAAACACCATTCCTTAAATATATTTTATTTGATAAACTACCTAAAACATAAGTCATTAGTGATTATATCTTACCTACTGGCTAAAAATAATGAAATCGATGTAATATTAGACTTTGCCTCGCATCCATAGACTTTACATAATAGAGTTTTCAATATTATATGGTGAAATATTGTCCCCACTATCAGTCAATCCACCACTTGATTATGGTTGGTACTTTAGAGTCTAGCATATGTTAAAACTTATTATGTACAGTCACTCGAGGAGAAGCCTTGTCGTGCATTGAGAAAAATAATTCGGGTCCACGAAAGAAATAACTGGTATTATATCTTCAAATCTTTTTAAACTAATATTTCTGATGCTTTAAGTTTCTCCAGAAGGTCACTCACATAGTTATAATAACACTTACCTGTTTCCAAGGTCCTGGTCTCCAAATATATTGATCCCCGCATTGAGCCAAAATGCATTTGGCTGTAACCGGTGGTTTGTTGTACACCGAGCAGTAGTTCTGGTGATGAATCTTGTTTTGGTATAGATCTGGTAGCGGTATGGGATCTATGATGCCTCCTTTGTATACTCGGTGGCAAGTGACGTTCCTCTTTTTGACACCGGTGCCACAAGACGCAGAACACTAAAAATGTATCGATAAGAAATAAAATAAGGTGTTTAGTGTAATGATGGAGGAATTTTCTGGGGAATATCCAAAGGACTTACATCAAATTGCACAAAATTTACTAGCGACAGAGACAGTGATTTATGGAATCGTAGATCCAAACTCTACACATCAAAATAAATATTTCAAATATATAACGAAGCAATTTACAATCCTACCTTAACAAATATTGTTTTTAAACTATTTTTTGTGGTACCTCTTAAAAAAAACCAAAATTGGAAATATAAATCACTTATTTGACTTTTGGATTTGTTTTCAAAATTTGTTTTCAAAATAAGTGAGAAAATGGTTGTGATGTAGAAGCTGAAACATTGAAATAAATAATTTACGAGGGATAGATCCTTTTTTTATTGGTAATGTATAACTAGGTCAGTCTGGAAAACCGAGATGTGATGCTGGTGGCTACATATGTACATATAGGGGGAGCATTCGACAACACCCACGAAGCAATGAAAAGGGCGATTCGGCTAAAGAAACTAGAAGAAACAAGCTGAAGTTGGATATACTGCTTGCTGAAGAGCCAATGGCTCTTCGCAATGGCCAACGGCAGTTGGATATACAGCTTGCTTGGGGTATTATTGCAGGTAAAATTTAAGCTACAGCGTTGCAACCAGTTTATAACAGACGGCTTTCTAAAAAATGGGGGGGGGGGACTGAGGGAGAATATCCAGACCGATTTTTATGTAAAAATCAGGAAAGAGCAATGCAGTATAAGTAGGCACGTTAACAATAATGTATCATTAAACAATACTCCCAACATGATTACACATTGTTGCGATTTTACCACACAATTCAAAATATTCTGTAACTCAATAAGCAGTCGTATTTTACCTATTAGGTAGTTTATTCTACAACACTTATTTGAAGAAAATTTGGGATGGTAAGTGATTGAAGTATGTGAATAGCTTGATTTTATTCTATATGATGCTTGTCTTAAGTATTAACGATAGAATGCAACTTAACAGTGAAACTACGGCGAAGAAAAAAATCGTGATATAGCTACATATGCCGTTAGCTGAAGTTATAAAAATTTGTGCAATATAATCTTTTTTTGAACCTATTCTCTATCCTTCCATTGTTGGATATAGGTCTCCCCAGTTCTTTCCATCTTTCCCTATCTTGAGCTGTTCTCTGCCATGTGGGACCTCCTTGTTTCCTGATGTCATCTTTCCACCTCATCTGTGGTCTGCCTCTTGATCTCTTTGCAGCAATCGTGGAGGAAGAGCTCTGAACTGAGTAGGGATTCTTCTGTACTTCACGGAAGACAGACTGGGCGGGGGATGTCCTCAACCTCGACACAGCACGTCCCATATGGCTGATAGGGAAAGTTCCTGCAGATATGCAGGACAGGTACGAATAAGGCATTGCCAAATAAGTACCCGCGGATCAACTGAGGATATGACATTAGGCAGCAGTAATGTCATTACTGGATTAAGGCTATGGGAAGTAAAAATTCTGTAGGCTTAATTCCAGATACTCACAGGCGTTATTCACATTATGAGTTAAGCGGCTGTGATACTGCGACAACAGCAGCGTCTGACCCAGAGTGGGCGGCTGCAAACAGTGTCTGTTCCCAGACTGGGCGGCTGAAACACACTTACCAACCCGTCTGGCCAGCGTGGTGAGTTCACGGCCAATCTGCCCCCCCCCCTCTTATGACAGATGCAATATAATTACTAGCATAAAATCTACTCGTTAAAACATAGAGGATGTAGAAAAGTTGATATTATTTAGTATTATTTCTGTCAACATGATTTAAGACGTGGTAGTAATACTGGAATTCCTGTCACTGATCTCATTTGCAATATTATGGAAAAGATAGACAGAGCTCTTTCTTTGGACCTCAAACAAATTTTTGAGGTCCTGTAGTTCAACATAATATCTTTTGTGCGGATAATACTGATGTTGAGTTGATGACATAACTTATGGTGTTATGCAAGGCTGCATATTGGAACAAACTCTGATCCTGAGTAATTTACTCTGTTAATTATATTTTCAATCTTCCATTAAATGGCAACATAACACTCTATGCTGATGGCATATGTTGTTTTTACTTAGTTGTTTTGATAAAAACGTTTCACAAATTAAATAAATAACAGGATAATTTATTGCAAATTTAAAATTGGTAATATTGGTAAATCCAAATGTCTGGTAGTCTCTAGGGATAACCAATTTTTTGACATTTTATACTCCTAAGTAATGCAGAATTTGGGAAGGAATTGTATCGAGTACTAGGCTTGCTCATCGATAGCAGCCTTTCATAGGAGCAACATATTAATCAGCTTGTAACAACATGCACAAGCTGTAAGAATTCTATGAAAAATTACCTATTATATTTCACTTTTTTTTAAGAGGCTTCCTTTTAATTTACTGGTTCATAGTCATTTAACCTTTTTAACACTTATTTGGGGATCAGCATAACAATCAAACCTCCAGATAGTTTTTATGACGACAGCATTAGGACAAATAAGTTTATTGTCTGAAGCAGTTCGATTACTCAACAAGATTCCTCGGCCCATAAAGAATTTAAGGGGCACAGTTTCAAGTGTAACTTAAAGAGACTAATTTTCTCCAATTTTTTTAGGATCATTAATTAACATTTGTACTATTTGCTTTGATAATTTGACTCTCTTCATTTCTTAAAATTCTGGAAATATTTGTATCTCTCAGACAGTTTAGGCTCGAGCCCTTTAATTGTTATTAAAATATTCCCTGTTGCAAAAAAACTGTCTTTTTAAAAATAACAAACTTTTTTTTGTCCAACAACAAATTGAAAATATTGAAAGGCACTTTATTTTTTGTATACACTGTGGACATATTAGAGTAAATAAGTGCAGTTTGATGTATGTATTGCAAAACTAAAGCACATGGTTGGTCCCCAATAAGCAGAACAGACCTAAAATATACATCTAAAGACAAAATATTCCACTACAAACTAAAGTAACTATTCTACCACAACACAAAAGTTATAAATTTCACAAAGTGCATTCAGTGATAGTGAAAAAGTACAAGCACAATGAACAATTTTCATAAACTCCGAACGCAGCCACTATGATTCTACTAAGCTAAAATAGAAAGCCATATCAATACTGTTTCAGTTTTTTTTGTAGTAAAAGAAATAATGTTATATGTTATGTTGTAAGTACTCCCCCTGTAAACAGATATTTATAATTATATTGGGTGTCACAAAAATTGGTCATTAGTTTTATCACGATTTCCACTGTTATGATTGTCTAATGGAAAATCGTTTAGAAAATTTAAGCTATTTTTTGTTAGACAAATTCGTTTAGTATTTTCTTCCCTCTCTAGGGGAGTCAGTTTGTCCATTGGCGGTTCATACCTCTATGGAAGGTGGTGACTGTATCTTTTGCACGGACGATTTACTTTGGCTTCTTCTATCACTATTTGGTTGAGTTTACCGAAAGTACAAGCTGAATATAGCCGCAAATGTCAAAAATATTTCGACTTGGCAGTGTTGGCATTTTTTTGGTATGCATATATTGTATGCTTCAAATAGTATACTTTTAAAAAGTACATTTTGATTATAGTATTTTATGAATTCTGCAATTTTTAATTTATATGAAGCAGTAACGAGTAGATATTTGTCTCTTTCGAGATCAATTGCAAACATATGTTGTAATATGGCAACTGCTGATTTGACGATTGCCAAATCTATCCCATAATCTACCAAAGGGTAATTGCTAAAAAAGTTTTTAATAATTAACTGCAATTAATCTCCAAAGAAACAAATATTTACTTATTGTTGTTTTATATAAATCAAAAATTGCATAATGCATAACATAATATAAACAGAATATACTTTTGTAAAGCTTTATATTTTTATATTGAAGTATACAGCATCTACATTATAAAACATGCCAACACTGCTATAACGAAATTTTTTGTTCCATGTTTGACATTTGCCGCTATAATTAGCTTGTACTTTCGGTAAACTCACTATTTATATGATCATTGCATCCTTTCTTCTATTTATATCCACTCGAGTTTTCGCTCTGGTAGCGTATTTCTTGTAATTCATCTCAGTATTCTTATTTTTGTCGTTTTCAATTGTTTTTGAGACATGATTGCATCGGGTGTTGTTTCTGCCAGTCTATTTCCTTTCAGCACTTTGTCTCTCCAGGTCTCCATAGCTGGACAGTGTAATTCCAAGGTATTTTACTTTCATTACTTTTTAAATACCCTCGATTTCTAATTTACGTCTCGTTGTTATTCATTAAATATTATTGTTTTGGTTTTCTGAGTTGAGATCGTCATAGTCTGTGGACTAGTCTTTGTAGACTTTTTTCATCTTTGACTGCCAATACTCTGCGTAAGAGAGTATTTTTACTTGTTTGTTCCCCATTATGTAGCCTCTCCATTTATTGACGTGTTTGATGACTTCATCTTCTTCTTCCTAGCATTCTAGTGTTCATTTTTAGACATAGGCCTCTCTTAAGTCCTTTAATCGATCTCTATCCTGAGTAACATAATTTCAATTTGTTCCGATTATTTTTTTGATATCCATCTTGTCTGTGGTCTTCTTTTTGATCGTCTACCTTTGTAAGGTCTCCAATGTTGTATTGTGGCGTTCCAACATTGGTCTTTTTGTCTAATAGCGTGGTTTGCGAAGCTCCATTTGAGTTTGGCAATGTTTGTTGTGTTTGTTTTGTTTGGCAATGTACCATTTCGTTCCTCTTTTTATCTGACAGTCGTATACCCAACATTGATCTTTCTGTTGTGGCTAGTTTGTTCATTTTTGCCTTAGTTAGGGTCCAGGTTTAACATTCATATGTGATGATAGGATGATGGTTGAAAACTTTGCTCCTCAGCATTGAGGTATTTTGCGGTTCTTAGTATCCAACTGAGTTTTCCAAATCCTGCCATGCCAGTCTTACTCTTCTAGTGATTTCCACACTTTATTTCTCTTTCTTAAGTTTCAGAATTTGGCCTGGGTAGAG